GACGACAGAGATATATAGACCAAAACAAACCTAACCTGACCTGACCTGACCTAACCTTACCTACAACCTACAACCTACAAACCTACAACCTACCCTACAAACCTACAAACCTACAATGGTATCTGGCATCTTCCTAATTCCTGGGATGCCAGGCTTACTTATACCCAAGTTCTGTTTTCCTCTCTGCATGTAAGTCTGCTGGCATTTTCTGCTTCTTAAGACTTTGGGTGAACTTTACATGGGATGTGTGGCTCACCAATGACAGGTTAAACATTAGCCAAAAAATTAATGCCTTTTGTGGAAAGATACATAAGACATTGTGGGAAGACACATCAATATGCTGCTAAATAATTGGGACTAAAACCATACAGCACTTGGGCTGGATATCTGCATCAGTTCACACCAACTGTGGAGTTTTGCAGAACTGCAGTGAATCAGCCTGCTCCTTAGAGCTCTGAAAATTATATACATGGTAATATAGACACATGGAGTGCAGCAGTTAAGCTTGTGACAAGAAAAGTCACAAATTTAATCAATTGCTCTCTGACTGACCCTGTACATGTAATGTCTCCCATACATCAAGTTCACTTGTCTTGAAGGTGCATTTCATGCATAAATGTAGTGCCAATGTGATGCTTCATGCAGTTTTGTCTATCTTTGATAGAACTCGATGGTATCTGTCCCTCTGCTTCTGCACTGCAAAGTGCAAATGCTACGGTTGTGGAATGATTTGCTTAAGTCTACTCAATTAAGACATTCTAAAACATTATTTAAACCTACTTAACCAGCCTAAAACCTACATGAGCCATACTGAAAACCTACTTGATGCCTGCCTAAAATGCAATGCCTTCCTCTGGCATTTGCAGTGCAGAGGGTCAGCCAGCAGATGCTCTAGTCAGAGTCAGATGGTATACAATACCACACCAGTCACTCTAGTAACTACCACAGACTTAACACTGCACCATCTTAAAATCTGCACTTGACTGTTCATTCCCTAAGTGTTCCAGCTTGGACAAGATCAAGAGCGTATCTTAGTTGCCATGCCTTACAGTCAGTTTTATTGGGTCTTTCCCTGATTAAGTGCCCATATTTTGCATTGTGTCTGCCCATATTTGATTTTAAAATGAAGGCTTGTCAATAGTTACGTCATAGTTGACATGAACATTTTCATGCCCATAGGTTGCAGTATGGTGTCCCCAAAACAGTTTTGGATTTCATCAGAGTGCTGCTCTTCTCCTCAGTTTCATCAGCTGTGAAGTGTGGGATGACAAGTCAAAGTGTGGCCTGACTATTTGATGTACTGTGGAAGATGTAGGGAATGCATTATCGTGACCTTGTTAAATTTCTTCCAGGTCTTTTGTCTTAGGAACACCATGGAATTTTTCCTGTTTGCTTTGTTAGCTGTTTTTAGTTCAGTGCACATCAGTTCTGCAGTGGAACTCACATTTGAGCTTCCAGATAATGAAAAACAGTGCTTCTATGAAGATATAAAGGCTGGAGAAAAAACGTCAGTGGAATTCCAGGTGAGTCAAAATCGGTCTGATATTTTTATCCTTTTTCCAAGATAAATTGTCAAGATAAATCTTCTGCTGTAAGATACGACACCATAGGCAACCTAAATCTGAATTCCTAGACCATGCAGGTGGAACTGAGGGACACATAGCATGATAATCAATGGCAACTTAAGGGTGTGACTCGAGATGAGCATTGAACATCCCAGTAAGTAACATATGTGACCTGCCCCCAGGTGGTTACGGGCGGCAACTACGACGTCGACTGTCAGATCAAGGGGCCCGACGACCGCATACTGTACAACAAGGTGAAGGAGCAGTACGGCGACCACTCGTTCACCACCGAGAAGGCGGGCACCTACTCGGTGTGCTTCAGTAACGAGTTCTCGACGTTCTCGCACAAGATCATCTACCTGGACTGGCAGACGGGCGAGGAGAAACCGCTGCCCGGTCTGGAGGAGCACCACCAGGCCCTCACACAGGTCAGTCAGGCGCGCGGACGGACGGGGTCGAGGGTACGGGGGGAATGGGGCCTCTCGGATGGACGGAAGTACCAGGGACATGGGCGGTTGGGATACCCGATACGGTCTTGATGGGATGGACTTCCCGGCGAAATACCAGGTTCAGGGCTAGCTGAATGGATAAACAGACGCGGTGTGGTGTTAACCGAGGCTGGTACAGCCCCGGCGGGCTGAGCGGGCAGATCGCGGGGGGCGTTAGGTTAACAGTATAATCTATGAAATCTCGGGTCGTAAACTGCTTACTGCTATGTTCGGCGGCATGAAAACGTATACTTGCGTTTAGCTACTATTGTGTTATGAGCTTTTTACGACTCCGTCCTTTCGGCCTCATCCGCGACTGCGTTGTATTTGGCAACATTTGACATTTTCTCTATCTATTTCCACAGATGGAGACTTCAGCCCAGGCCGTGCACGAAAACCTCAACGCCGTCGACGACTACCAGACGCACTACAAGCTGCGCGAGACGCAGGGCCGCAAGCGAGCCGAGGAGCTGGGCGAGCGCGTGCTGTACTGGTCGGTCGGCGAGACGATCGCCATCCTGCTAGTCACCATCGGACAGGTATTCGTACTGAGGAACTTTTTCGCGGAAAAGAAGCCGTCGGAGATGGGCTACCGACAGCTGCACTAGTGCTATAGGATGTGGTGCAGTGTGGTGCGGGGTGGTGCGGTCTGATGCGGAGTGGTGCGGTCTGATGCATTGTGGTGCGCATTGGTGCAGTGGTGAGTGACGTGTTAGAGCTGACGTGCCGTGTGGTATGACGTGTAGCGCAGACATGTTATCACTGACGCGCCGTGTGGTATGACGTATGCCGCTGACGTGCCGTGCGGTGTGACGACGTATGACGCCGACGTGCCGTGCGGTATGCTGTGGTCTGGAGCGTGTGTGCCGGCGTGTGGCCGGGGCTTTCCACTGCCGGTCGGAGGCGGGAGGCGCCGCCCGGGTGCGGAGGGCGGCCGGTGGCGAGCAGCGTGCTGTCTCGGCACGGGGCGGCCGGTGGCGAGCAGCGAGCTGTCTCGACACGGGGCGCCGCTGCCGCCGATGGCGCGGAGCGTGTTCAGTAGCGGGTGCCGGGATAGTCCTGTGCACCGTCTTTCTCAGCTGGTGTCCGGAGGCGCGCGGTCGGAGGATGGCGTCCGGTGGGTGGTGAGAGGACCTGTAGCGGTGGCCGGGAGCGGTGCCTGGTAGAGCTTGGGCGGACGGGCGTATCGCCGGCGGTGGGGGTGCGGGCGGACGTTTGAGCGTTTGACACCAAAGCCTCGGCATTGCCATCAGAGTTGTGTCGCTAACCGAATTGATAGATTCACGCTGTTCGGCTCAACGGTATACGTAGCATGTTTGTTGGTGATGTTTCCTAAAACTGCCGGCTAACAGCTTGTTGAATTGAGCTAAGCACTTTCAATGACGTTTCGCCGTAGACACTTTTGTTATTGTAGATGTTATTACCACGGACACAACTCTGGTGGTGCAATTATATCGTATACAGCTTTATTTTAAAAATCGGCAGCGGTTCGCTTTGCACATGCCTTTACTAGCGTGAGAGTTTCACACGGTTAGTATGGTTGTTGGACATCAAACGAAATAAAATAATTTATTGTGTACGGTGCGAATTGGTTTTGTGACGTCTTTGTTTGGGTGTAGTGGTTCCGGAGATGTATTTTCGTTATTTTAAATACACCTGTATACACACGCGGAAGGAGGCTGTTCGGTGAAGCTCCGGTGGTTGGATGGATGGTCGGGAACGCTGTGCCGCCTGCGCTGTGATCTAGTACCGCCGTTTGCTAGTCTAGTACTGCAGCGGTGCTCGGGGCTCGCAACCGTCTGTTTCCCTGTCAGTTCGTGCACGAATTTCATCGATCCGCCGACCGCCGGTGGTGGGCCGAAATGCAGTCTGCGATTTCGACACCTACTGGCGCAAGTGGCATTTCAAACCGGATATCGATTTAGCGCGCCGCTGAGTTGGAATGGCGTGGCCTAATGTCGGGTGCCACACTTCACCGAGCCGGGCTTACCGCACGTCAGTAAAGCTTCAGCGTGAAGTATGTGGCCTGGAATGTATGCAATTCACAGTTATTCTGTTTCAGTTGGTGCCATTATTGCAGTTTTGATGGAGGCTCGGTTCGCCTGTCCCTGCCGTCATTTATTCACGGGAATCCCACATACCTACCACTGTAGCGTTGATACACTATACATAATCAATAAACGTTCTCAGAGCCTCACAATTCCTCGGGTCACTAGAGCAAGCCAGACTGTATTGGCACAGCCACCCCGTTTACCTTTCTCAAACACTGTTGTACTGTTTTCCGTCTACTCCCATAATCTCGCCGCCCCACGGACCCCCACAGTCCGCAGTCTCCTTATTTCCCCTTAATCTTGCTAGCAATAAACAGCCAGTGATAGCCAGTGTTATATTAGGCCCGCTCCGCCGGCTGGCGTGCAGATCTCGCCACCATAGATCCATATTAGCCCTCCTCCCCCTGTGGCTGCTGCGGCCGGGAGGTAATGTCGGGGGTTACCTGTCACGCGGCGTCAGTCACACGCCGCTGACAGACGGTCTAGCAGGGGCTGACAGACGGGTCGCGCCGAGGACAGGCCGCCGACCCGCCCGCCCCAGCAGCGGCACGCCGCAGTCCAGGCGTGCAGGCATGCGGGCGACGCGGACGTCGTGCGTGCTGCCACTCATGTACTCACAGGTTTTTTTGACAGCTGATCAGATTTCGTAGTAGGAACAAAAATATCGGGGGCCCTCGTCGAGTCGTAAACGCAGTCGTAAACGGTTTTATACGATCGATTAACATTATCGAACGCATAAATCTGTTCGGTTGTGGTTTTCGTGAAACTACTTGATAGCCGTGCAGATGCCTAGTGTGCGCTAAAAATATATGAATGATAGGTAGCTGTTAACATGTTAAATCGTTAGACAACTGCGCGTTTCTTCGTCGCCTATTGCACACTCACAAACTGTGCACTGTATGCAGTACTTTATTTTACACTAATAACTTTATTCTCTCACACGCTCACAAACAGTTCAGGAATAACGAAACGACGGCGATACGCGTCTTACCCGGTACGTATACAGCCAGTGGCTATTGCCCTCGAAGGAATGCAACGGTGACACTTAAAAGAATGCACTTAGAAACAATGAAAGCGCGTCTTACGTCGATATGCGAGCACGTGAAGCTAAACCCCATATTCTACAACATAAATAGGACATATCGAGGGAATGAAGCTGATTACTATCAAAGCCCCTGGCTCATGTACAGTAAAACTGCACCTGCGAACCTACACTTCGAACACGGGACTTGCCAGTTGCATCTGATTACGCTCTTGATTGCATATCACATGCAAACACTCAGTGCCTAAACCTTCACCGTCCATCTTGCTGGAAGTTTTAACTTTGGAAGAACATCTTGTTCTTTCAATGTTCTTTGATGTTGCTCAACACTATCAAAACTCACCCACGAATCAAATAAGAAGCTGGCATCTAACACCAAGGCAGCCGATCGCCCCACACTGAGAACTCTGATAAAGCGGCGACTGGTGCTGCCACCTGGGACGGCGCGACGCGAGCGCCACCTACTCTGAGCTGTTGACCTGCTCGGAGGTCTGGCGGGTGAGGTTGAGCTGCGACAGCGAGCGGATGACGCCCGGCTCGCAGGGGCTGAGTGTGTTGTGCGCCGCCTGGAAGCCGGGCGTGCCGGGCTCCTGGTGCTGCTCCAGCTGGCGGCGGATATAGCGCGACACCAGCCGCTGCGGGTACTCCTGCCACTCGTGCATCGTGCGCTGGTCAGTGTCCACCTGACGGCCGAGCGGAGCCGGGTCACACGGGGTCAGCTGAGGTCAGCTGAGGTCAGCGGGGGCCGACAGGGGATCAGCAGGGGTCAGGGAGTCGTCAGGGGTGGACAGAGGTAGACGGGCACCAGAAATCTGAGGAGGTTGATAGGGGTCGGCAGGGGCAGTGGTTACCGTAAAATCAAGAGGTTGTCACCGTCAGGTATCATCAGAAGTTGGCACGGATTAAATATGGCTGTCGGACGGGGTTAGTAAGATTTTTCCAGGGGCAGGCTTAGGTCAACAGAGGTCGGCCTGGACCTGTCAATAGCGATCAGTAGGGTTAAGAGGGTCAGTGCGTGAGTGATAACAGGTTAGCCGAGGTAAAAAAAAACATAAACTACATCTCAAAGCTCTGCCGTTTTCAACTTTCCAAGAGCAGGTAACATTACTTCTGACTGACGGATCTTCCAAACACAATAAAGTGCACTTAAAATGACACTTGCCTACCACGTATGTTTAGATTTAAAACGCTTCCCGTCTGCCTCACGCTCTCCGTCTGTCTAAAAACAATGTCCCTGAACGAATGTCCCTTTTTATTACTAGCTACCACGAGCAGAATGACATAAATATTGTCGTCAGTGTCTGTGTTAATGTCAGTTTAACCTTGTCAGCTTTCAGAGAATTCAAGAAAAACAAACTCACACGTTTACCTAATTCAGCGCTGACCATGAACGTAGCGGCAAAGTGACACCGCTAGGTCTTGTTTATAGAGACGTCAGCATCAGACGACTATGTAAAACCACCCCGTATCGCTACCACGGGAGCCGAGATCCCGGGGGGCCTCCGTTCGTCGTCTCCGGCCGTCGGACAGCGGACTGCCGCCCCCCCCCCCCCTCCTCCTGAGACCGTTATACCGGCGCTACCAGGGGCTGCGAGGCGCTCAGGGGCACGCCAGCAAAAATCGCACCATTTGGTGTTCCTTCACTCACTGTGCGATATCCCATGAGAATATTGCACCCTTCAGTGTTACTCTTTCATCAAATGCATAAGCATTACTGCAGCCGAGTGGATCTTTTTTAGGAAGTTCACCCTACTTACTCCCCTCGAGCTGCTCCCGTTCAGCCACCTGCTTAGCTACTTGGTCCCCTTTCAGTCATGCCTAGTCCCCCTTCCGTCAGTCCCACCTGGTCGCCCTTGAGCCACTCATACCTGGTCCCCTCGAACCGCTCATACCTCGAGCTCCTTTCAGTCATACCTGACCCCCCTTCCGTCAGTCCTACCTGGTCGCCCTTGAGCCGGTCCAGCAGAGTGACACAGACGACGGCGCCGCGGATGCCGGCGTGGTGGCACAGCGCGGCGAACATCAGCGACTCCATCTCCATGTTGATGATGCCCTCAGCGTGGATCTTCTTCAGGAAGTTCAGCTTGTCCTGCTCGGTGTAGTCGCAGAAGGCGCCGTCCAGCCGGCCCTGACCTGGGTGAGGGGACGAAAGGGATGGGGTCAGTAGGGGGTCACCCTCCACACCCGCCCCGCTGCGGTCATAAGTAAATGAATGGGGCCGGTGTCTTCGTAAGTCAGCTTTTTCTGAGCAACTGCAACAGCATTGCCGATCTTTTAACTCTTGTGTTATGTAGGACGAGCTAAGGCAACGTTGTTCAGGCTCACTACTGGGGAGTTCGTAGGTCCTTTCAAAAGGGCAATTAATGCATGAACGATTCGGGTCGTCAGTCGTCACGTTACAAGCGGCAACCAGCTGTGGATAATACCTCATCTACTAATACCTAACTCTTGCTGTGCAGGTGTGACGGCCGGCGGGGCCCTGCCGTCCCTCCCCAGGCCACTTTACACGGCACATGACACACAGGTGGTGGCTATTAATCACACACGGAGGGGCCGGCGCAGCTCCGGTCTAAGCTGGCCTGCAGTTTGTACTGGTCCTCATGTGTTTTATGCCGATTGCCGAATAAAACTTCTGCCTCGATCTTTAAACGTCGGATCCGGGATCAAGCATTTTTAGTTTATCTACCAGAACTCATAAGCAGAAATATGATAAATTGTCCCGATGCTTCTTGTTATACATATAAAAGCTTGGTGACCTGAACCTCTACTCTGTCCATCTACGCATTTATGAGTGGCCCTGCATACGGGCCAGCGTTACCCATGCCACTACTAACTATCACTACTTTCCCAACACTTCAGTCACGACATTTTTGTTGCAACATTTACCGCTTAACAGCTTGCATCATGCAGTCCGATATCCGTTTCAACATTTCCGTCCCACTACTTCCTCCTCAACATTTACAGTCTCATCATTACCGTCCCAAAATAGGTCCGTTCCGCTTAGTTCATGGTAATAATGAGCAGCGTACCGTTTCACTGTTTCCATCAAACTACTAAATACGAAATGGTGTACCCGTGTATTATTTACCGTCATACTATCATGCATCGCGACATTAGTGAGTCCTAATGGGCCAATATTAGCATCTCATGACTTTTGGAATATAACTACTCCAAATATTATCGCTCCATCATTACCCTCTACACATAATTTCGTTGTTGCCTGGACTATTGCTAGTCAACATTATTGTCCCAATACATATAATCGACGCTGTTCATATTTTTGCTCCCCTTTTACAACCGAAATTCACCGTCATATATTAGCGCTCCATTACAGCCGTCCCCACTCGGCAGCCAGTCCCCAGGAACCTGTGGCAGAGGACTGACCTTCGTAGAAGTCTGTGGTGCACATGGTGCGGCCGATGTAGGTGTCCCACTTGTCGTCCGGCATGTGCAGCGCCTTCAGGTCCTCGGCTAGCTGCCTGTCCAGCACGGCCGGTCGGCGCAGCAGCTTACCCAGTACAGGCTGAAAGGTAGCACAGCAAAACAGACGTTATAACAAGTACACCAGACGTCACAGCAGCTCCCTACATCAGGCTGACGGACAACACACCATAGCTGACGTTATAGTATCTACGTCAGGCGGCCAGCAGCTTCCCCAGTACCGGCTGACGGGCAATACACCAAGGCAGAGTGTTACATCAGATATCATAGAACACCACACATGAGTCACACATCACACCAGGCATCACACCAGGCGAAACACGGACGTAACGTCATATGCGTCCCGTATGCCAATGGCCCTTCCCAGTATCGGATGACGAATATAAAAGCACATCGATGTCGCACTCGCATCATAAGACATATACCTAACATGGGTCACGCATTTCAACAGCATTCCCAGCACTGCCCCCCCCCCCCCCCTCCGCCCTCAAACATGAATTCCATCAATTCCATTATTTGTTTTCCATCACGCTGCCGTCCTCTGCAAAAAGCACCGTTCCAACCCCCTGTCGTATAAATTTGGAGGAGCAGTCAACTAGTCAGGGCGACAGCCCTCTCCCCTCAGCCGCTCGCGCCACCTCCCGGAAGAGCACGCCCCTCTTACTCTGTGTATTTACCCCGGACGCAATGGGACCTCCAAGCGCGGCATTTACCAGCTGCTCAGATATACAAGCATCACTCATCACATTCCAGGAAACGGTCCGCGGGACACGCCCGTAACGTAGTTACTCCCGAGGGGTAGTGCGCATTTAGGTCAGTTCTGGCCGGTGGAGGCACGGGTAATTTTCCCAAACGGGCTTCATCACTGGACTTTCACAACCAGCCGTCCCAGAAAGGTCGCAGAATTAAAGTTAGGCCAAAATTTGATCGATGACCGCCGGGCGCTTTTCAATGTTCAATGTTCATATATGAAACCCCTTCCAGTTCCTAAAACACCGAACGGTGTAAAGACAGAGCACAGACAGCTGCAGTGACAGTTAGACGGTCCTACTGCACTTGCAACTTCATAGCGCTTAGAGTAGCAGTAGGCAATAGGCACATTCCTCAGCATTATTTTACCCGGACGAGTAATATAATCCTGCTCGTCTGGACCTAGATTGCGCCGTACCGCCTCTAGCGAGCTGTAACTGTTACTGGGCCAGCTGGGAAGGACATGTCCTGAAGGATACCCTGAACACCCGCCGGGTCACTATAGGGGCATTCCACGTCAAATCAAACACCGAAATCCGTCATCCCCTTTGATTTTTCTGAAAATTTGTAGGCAGACTGCGCATGGTTCAAAACTGAGTTACGTATAATATTTTCGAAATTTGATAACGTATCGCCGAGATATAGGTCATCGAATATAGCCAAAAATGCCACACATCATTTTTTTAAATGCTTATAACTCTGGTTCCTTTTCTGGTATCAAAATGATATTAACAGGGTCTTGTAGGCAATTGATAAGGCTTTGATTTTTAATTATAAAATTAAATTGAAGTGACCTTGAAATGCATTTGACCTTGAATTAAAACAGAAAAATTTAAATAGCAAAAAACACGCCACCTTCGATTTGGGTAATTTTTACATATTATGTCCGTCACAATGTTCTAAACCATCTGTGAAAAAATTGGAGTGGGCCATTCATAACTTTCGCGGCAAACCGTTTTCATGCATCAACATCACGCAACCGCGCGTGACCTTGAAAGACAGAGTCAAGACATGCTTGCTTGTGTACACTTTCTGAAATGAATGATTGCTGATTAGTGATATCCCAAACTTTGCGAGAATGGAAATGCATAGTCATCGTAGTCAAGCATTCACGTTCCATTGTAAAAGTGTCTCAGGCAAACGGTATTTTGCGGTGAATTTTGAGCCGTGTGGAAATGCATCATGAAATAAATTCCACGAAAACATTATCACGCAACGATATCTTCACGTCTTTTGATCTTCACTATACGAACGAACATACATTTTTGAGTATGTATGGGGAATTTCTAGTTAATCCGATAATAAATATGGCAGTTAGAGTCCTGCTAAGAGTAGCATGTCGCCGGCTGAGGCGGGATCGGCCGACGCGGAAAACGCAGCAATCACAATTTTGTGTTTACACGTTCATATTTCAATTGTTTACCATCCTATTTTCAGAATTCTTTCACCATAAGATTGCCTGTACATTTCTTAGTCTTCTCACAAAATTTGACGCGAATCGAACGTAATCAGCGGTAAGGAGCGCGATGTAAAGACGGAACCGTTCCGTTCCGTCCCGGCACAGTCTACAATTCAGGCGGCGCGTAGCGGTCGGCGCCGGCTGCCGAGTCGCCGCGGCGACGCGGCGACAGGATGTTCACTTTACACCGCTATTACTAGACCAGTTGTGAACCGATTTTCTTCTTGCTTGCACGATGAGATGTGCAATTCAATTTTGGACAGGTAGCTATAATTAATTTCGCATCAATATTATGAGATATTGACGAAAAACAGGAGGGGTGGGGCGAAATTCACTCTTCCCCCTCCACTGCGCGTGCTAACATACGTTTGCATATCTGCCATTTTCTTCAAAACTTATGAATGGCCCACTCTAATTTTTTCACAGGTTGTTAAGAATATGGTAGGCAATAAAATATATGAAAATGAGCCAAATCGAAGGTGGCGTGTTTTTTGCTATTTCAATTTTTGTGCTTAAGAACAGAGTTAAGCAAATTTCAAGGTCATATATTTAAGTCGATGCAATTCTAAACAAATGCTTAAGAAATTACCTAAACAGTAAGGTTTATTTCATTCAAATCAAACAAGTACAACCAAAGTTATGGTCGTTCAAAAATATAAAGATGCAACATTTTGTAAAAATTTGATGCCCTATATTTAGAAGACCTGTGGTCAGAATGTGCAAAAAACATCAATGTAATGTCCGGGGCGACACAGGAACTCGCTCACAAATTTATAATGAAATCGCTGATGGTAAGGTGCAAAACAGCCGATTTTTGTTCGATTTGACGTGGAATGCCCCTATAGCCGTTACTGTAATGAGGTAATGGCCACGGGCCCGGGGCGGAAGGCGCCGCGCCGGGCCGGGCCGAGGTCGGGTCTGATGGCCGCTCCACACCACCACCGAGCCGGCCAGGCGGCTGGGAGGCAATTTTACTCTACAGCGAGGACCAGAGATGACCCTGCCCCCCCCCCCCTTCTCTCTGGCCGTCAGTGGAGGGCGGAAACGGCGGAAGTGGCCCGAGCGTCGCAGAGGGCACGGACACGTGGGTGGGTGGAATTTTACCAGCCTCTTGCGTCTCCTACGCCTCCGCCACCTCTGACTAACGTGATAACTGCTGAATGGCCAGCCTTTGGCGGAACTTTGTATAGTTTTTGTTTCCTATAGGTTGGAAAAATAGCACAAATCATAAAGAATCACATCATTTTTAGGGTCAGCTATGTAGTTGATGTTCAGTAAGATATATTTAAAGATAGTAATTATAATAAAAAATAAACGCTAAACCCAGCTGCATAACGTGTTCATAACGTTTATTTCCCGATTTCAGGACGGACAATAAAGGTGTCAGATTCGGTATAGCTTAAAAGTACCAACTCATGCATTATTACGAGCGAGCGAGCGCAGCGAGCGAAGCGAGTCTTTTCAATATAACGGAAAAATCACAGTATGAGCGGCCCGGCCCGGCCCGGCCCGGCCTGTAACGCTTTTGAGAGGCTTATATCTCAGCAACCGCTGGACCGATTGGCCTGCGGTCTTTTTTGCTGGGTAGACCCATCCCTTCTACCCCGTAATTGACTACTTTTGATACATCTCAGTGACCGTCGTGGCACGTGCCACGTGAAAAGTCAGGGGTGTTCAAGCAGTTTTGCAAAAGTAGTGATTTTGAGAGGTTCATATCTCAGCAGCGGCTTGAGCGATTGTCTTGCGGTAATTTGTATAGGGTAGCTGCATCCCTTCTGCCAAAGGTCGGATACTCTTGATGTATGTGAGTGACCCCCACTGCACGTGCAAAATACAAAAAGAAGAGGTACCAAATTTGTTCCCATTTCAGTAACTCGGTAATTACTGGGGCGATTTCGCTGAAACTTGGCATACAGGTAGGCACCTACCAGGCAATGCATTCCCATGTGTTGCAGTTAGGGTGCTACTGCACGTGCGCACGTGCAGGGGGCGTTTCCAGATCTCGAGAACGGCTGGGCCGATTGCGCTCAAATTTGGTACACGGTTGGGGACCGGTTAGTAGGGTGCCGTGCAAAAGTCATTTTGGACCCCGCTTGCACGTGCGCACGTGCAGGATGTCGCTTCCAGATCTCAGGAACAGCTGGGCCGATTGCGTTCAAATTTGGCACACCGCTAGCGACCGGTTAGAAGGGTGCTTTGCACAAGCCCGTTAGAAGTACCCTCTCGCCCTTCCGCACGTGCAGGGCTCACTATCTCGCTCGCTCGTTCTTCGCCCAAAAGGCGTTTTACTGGTGTTATATAAGAAACATGTCTATGATTGTATTCGTGACTCACCAGCTCCAGGTAGGGGTTCATCATGCCGTCGACGGCGCTCTCGCTGATGACCAGGTTGCCGCCGGGGATGCCGATGCCGCCGCACGTGCCCAGGCGGAAAAACGTCGGGTCCTTCACCTTGGCGTGGTACATCAGCTTGATCATCTCGTGCAGCAGGATCCCCACGCTGGGAATACCCATGCCGTGCTGCCGATAGATAATTGGAACGTCACAGATATTGTGGCACCAAAGCTGAAAGCAAACAATCGGGCATAAAAGATGCTATGGTAATAGGTACCTTACTTTGAGCATGACAGATTTTAATGCTTGAATGACCGAAAATAGATCAATGTGCAATGAGCATGCCAGGAGCAAGATGACAATAAAGGAAGAAGTGCTGACTGTAAAGAAGGAAAATGGGGAGATGACAACTAGCATGAATGAAACCTGTGAGGTGATGAATCGACGATTTCAGCAGGTTTTCAAGAAATCAGAGGGGACAGAACCACCAACATTGGAGACAGTTCTGGATGACAAGCTGGAGCAGTGTATCATTGACCCAGTGGAGGTAAGGGCTTTACTGCTTAAACAAAAGACACCATCAGCACCTGGCCCAGATGGAGTACACCCCATTGTGCTCAAGGAATGTGCCACTAGCCTTGCAGTGCCACTGTCCATCATCTTCTCTCGCTCAATTGAGTCAGGTCGCTTGCCTAAGGACTGGAAGAGGGCAAATGTAACACCCATCTTCAAAAAGGGGAACCGATCTGATCCACTGAACTACCGACCTGTTAGTTTGACCTCAGTGCCCTGTAAGATCATGGAGAAGCTGATTAGGCAGAAGATTGTTAACCATCTTGAGACAAACGACCTGCTTAGCCAACAGCAGCATGGTTTTCGGTCAAACAAATCATGCCTGACTCAAATGTTTGAGTACCTTTATGATGTTGAGAATGCTATTGATGAGGGGGAATGCGTGGATACCCTGTACCTTGACTGCCGCAAGGCATTTGACACTGTCCCACACCAGCACCTCATTGCTAAGGTACGGAGAATGGGCTTGGACGGACAAATTCTGCACTGGATAACAGACTTCTTGATTGGACGTGAGCAGAGGGTGGCAGTGCAAGGTTGCCACTCAGGATGGAGAGAGGTTTGGAGTGGAGTGCCACAGGGTAGTGTCCTGGGCCCAACCCTATTTCTGATCTACATTGACGATCTCCTGGAGGGCCTCCAGTCACCTGGAAAACTTTTTGCAGATGATGCCAAAGTTTACCGAAGGATAAGAAGCCCTGATGACCAGATTGTCCTCCAGGAAGATATTGACAGGCTGCAACAGTGGACCAAGAAATGGCTGCTTACCTTCAATGAAGACAAATGCAAGGTGATGCATTTCGGGACAAAAAATCCACTGTACACCTACTCAATGGGGGACACCACTCTTACCTCAACCATTAAAGAAAAGGACCTGGGAATCACAATAACGCCAGACCTCAAAGTATCAGAGCAGGTGACGAGAGCGGCAGCTGCAGCGAACTCCATGCTGGGAAGAGTGAAGAGGACATTCACCTTCATGGACAAGGAAATGTTCCTGCCAATTTACAGAACACTGATACGCCCTCACATGGAATATGCCATCCAAGCTTGGTCCCCGTTTCTCCAAAAGGATGTCAGCAGGTTGGAGAGGATCCAAAGGAGAGCGACAAAACTTGTACCTGAACTCGCCAATCTCCCTTACCAAGATCGTTTAGACCAACTGAAACTGACATCACTGGCAGATCGAAGGGTTAGAGGGGACATGATTGAAGTCTACAAGCTGATCCATGGACATGACAAGGTGAATGCTGGAGAAGAGTTTTTGAAACTAGAGACCAGTACAAACAGGGAAAGGACACGAGGACATGCTCTCAGACTGCAAAAGCCAAGGCATCGGCTGCACAGACGCAATCAATTTTTCTCCTCAAGAGTTGTGGACCAGTGGAACCAACTTCCTGAACATGTGGTACTGAGTCCAAGCATCAACGCATTCAAGAACAGATATGACCGTCATATGACACTGAGAAGAGGCAGCATCCTATGAGCACCCGCTCCCTATGCCTCTTTCATATCTACTATGGTGAGCATCTACTATGGTGAGCATTATGCAATATGATGCAGTACCTATGCATTATGCATGTACTGGTGGCGCAGTACCACGCGCCGGAGTCGGCAGACGTTCGATACAGAGGTCGGTCTGAGAGTCGGGGGCGGGGGGGGGGGCGGCCGATCGGTGCAGTAGTCAGCTCACTATCAGTCCGAGAGCCGGGGAATGGGGGGGGGGGGGGGGGGAATGGGCAGCCGGCCGGCCGGAAGGAACACGACACAGATAGCACACAAGGGCCTGGAGTGTCATATTGTTAGCAGACACGAGTTACGCCTAGCTCAGATGCATCATACACGGAGGAAAATAGAGCTGACGATCCTTTTGTCGATCCTAATAGCATATGACACCAGTATAACGCCTTTGGGGGCGATTAACGGAGCGAGCGAGAGGGTGGGCCTTGCACGTGCGAAATTGCGAGGGGGTACCTCCAACTGACTTGTGCACGGCACCCTACTAACCGGTCTCTAGCGATGTGCCAAATTTGGGCACAATTGGCCCAGCCGTTCTCGAGATCTGGAAGCGGCACCCTGCACGTGCGCACGTGCAAAATGGGTCCCAACTGAATTGTGCACGGCACCCTACTAACTGGTCCCTAACTGTGTACCAAATTTGAGCGCAATCGGTCGAGCCGTTCTCGAGATCTGGAAACGACCCCTGCACGTGCGCACGTGCAGCAGCACCCCAACTGTGGCACATGGATATGCAGTGCCTAGTGGGTGCCTACCTACATGCCAACTTTCAGCGCAATCGGCCAAGTAGTAACCGAGATATTGCAACAATTACAAAACGGACACCTCTTCGTTTTGCACGTGGCACGTGCATAAGGGGTCACCCACATGCATCAGGAATAGTCCAATACTTGGAAGAAGGAATGAAGCTACCCTACAAAAATTACCGCGTGTAAATCGGTCAAGTGGTTGCTGAGATATAAGCCTCCCAAAAGCGTGACCACGGCCGGCCGCTCATACTCAGAAATTTCCGTTTCTAAGGAAAGACTACGCTCGCTTCGCTCGCTCCGTAATAATAACCTATCTAGTGCTTGGAATATACTTCAAAAAGCATATACTAAAAAACTAAGAATTTTTCCTACCGAATTTATGGATTATGACAAAACGGGCAAACGGATAACTAATGTTCTTCGCCTAGAGATAACCACTACTCAGTCTTGACAGTTAACATGAGCTTACATCAACTTCGGGGAAGCTTGATATGTTCATGGTAGACAAAACAACGATCGAGCCGCCAATCTTTTTCTTCATAGAAAAGAGTGGTGTGGTGGCTTATCTGGTGTAAAACAATTTGCTAAAAGCCCTCTGGCTGCTCTGACGTGTTTACACGGTCTGTCAGTGAGTCACAATCGATGACGCTGGCGCTACAGCTGACGTCACTTTTGGCACAGATCGGCTCGGCTTTTGGCACAGGCGACACCGCACCGGGTAGAAGTCGCCTGTCGCCACCAGCTGCACGTGACCAGGGAGACTACTGCTAGGCAGGCGTTTTAGTAGCCCCGCGGGAACACTGAGCTGAGCCGTCTTAAACACGACAGGGAAATATGAGCCTCGGTAGTCTGAGACATGAATATGGATTCAGCTCGGCAACCCGGAACAAACAGGCTCCCTCCGGCTACCCAGAACACAGCCATGAAGCCGCTTCAGTAGACTCAGCAGACAGCCACGCCCCACACAGCCGTCTGAGCACCGTGCAGAAAGGGAACGTAAAGCTGTCTCAGCACCCCGACAGACAAACACGAAACTGCCTTCACAGCTCGGAAGCCGAGTATGTAGGTTGGAATCGTGTGAGCTAGATTCACGATGTGTCAGCCATTCCACTGGCCTTTCTTCGTGACGAATCAATGCAGTGAATGCCAGCGCTCGGGAGGGGCGGTTAACACTGAGATAGCAGTTCCCTTACCGACAAGAACGATGGATGTTGCATCAGTCAGTACCGGCGGAACACCTTCAATTAAGGGGGGGGGGGGGGGGGCACTGCCGACTTTTGGTCCCATTTTTTCCATGCAACGCCCATAGGGCTAATGTTAAAATACCTAAATCAAAGTGGAGCACGGTGCCCCTGTGCCCTCCCCGTTCCGCCGCCTATGGCATCAGTATTCAGTACCGTCCCCCGTTACTGGGCAGTCCAGGCGCCAAATAAGTGCTATTTTCTATTTCTCTTTGTAGTGCCTAGGTACTCAAAACCTGTCAACTATACGTCAGACATCTTATGACATTTCCAGACAGAAAGCGAGCTTGTTTCAGCTTTCGGTATCAAGCGACGTGAACCAGTGGCGGATCCAGGGGGGGGGGGGCAAAATGGGCATTTGCCCCCCCCCCCAAACGGCATAATTTTAACATTACGCCTATGGACGATGCTTGGAAAGAATCGATAAATTGTTATGGTTTGCCCCCCCCCCCCAAAAAAAACTCTGAGCTGGATCCGCCTCTGACGTGAACCAATCATGCAGATCTGAAGAGTGAAGACGTCAGCTCGGCGGGGTGAGCTGACGGACCCGCTACTCACGCTGACGGAGAGCACGGGGCCGACTTTGTACATGCTGTAGCGGTAGGAGAGCTGCGAGATGTCGCTCAGCTGCGCGCCCGTCGGCAGCTCGTACCCGATCTCGTCCATCAGGAAGCGGGCAAACTGCTCCATGCGGCGCGGCGTGCCGCCCATACACACGTACTGCCGGCGGAACATAACACAGTCAGATAAACCAATACAGACGTACTGTCGGCGGAATATACACACACAGTGAGATGAACCCATACACACGTACTGCCGGCAGGGCACACACACAGTCAGATAAACTCATACACACGTACTGCCGGCGGAACATACATACACGGTCAGATAAGCCCATACGCACGTACTGCCGGCGAACATACACACACTGTCAGATAAACCCATAGTCATACACTCGTACTGCCGGCGGAACATACACACACAGTCAGATAAACCCATACACACGTACTGCCGGCGGAACATACATACAGTCAGATAAACCCATACACACGTACTGACGGCGGAACATACACTACACACACAGTCAGATAAACCCATACACACGTACTGCCGGCAGGGCACACACACAGTCAGATAAACTCATACACACGTACTGCCGGCGGAACATACATACACGGTCAGATAAGCCCATACGCACGTACTGCCGGCGAACATACACACACTGTCAGATAAACCCATAGTCATACACTCGTACTGCCGGCGGAACATATGTACACACACAGTCAGATAAGCCCATACACACGTAAAGCCGGCAGAGCACACACGCAGTCAGATAAACTCATACACACGTACTGCCGGCGGAACATACACACACAGTCAGATAAACCCATACACACGTACTGCCGGCGGAACATACACACACAGTCAGATAAACCCATACACAAGTACTGCCGGCGGAACATACACACACAGTCAGATAAACCTATACACACGTACTGACGGCGGAACATACACACACAGTCAGATAAACCCATACACACGTACTGCTGGCAGGGCACACATACAGTCAGATAAACTCATACACACGTACTGCTGGCAGGGCACACACAGTCAGATAAACCCATACACACGTACCTACTGCCGGCGGAACACACACACACACTGTCAGATAAACCCACAAACACGTACCTACTGCCGGCGGAACATACACACACAGTCAGATAAACCCATACACACGTACTGCCGGCGGAACATACACACACAGTCAGATAAACCTATACACACGTACTGACGGCGGAACATACACACACAGTCAGATAAACCCATACACACGTACTGCTGGCAGGGCACACATACAGTCAGATAAACTCATACACACGTACTGCTGGCAGGGCACACACAGTCAGATAAACCCATACACACGTACCTACTGCCGGCGGAACACACACACACACTGTCAGATAAACCCACAAACACGTACCTACTGCCGGCGGAACATACACACACAGTCAGATAAACCCATACACACGTTCTGCTGGCAGAGCACACACACACTGTCAGATAAACCCACAAACACGTACTGCCGGCAGGGCACACACACAGTCAGATAAGCTCATACACACGTACTGCCGGCGAAACACACACAGTCATATAAACCCACAAACACGTACCTACTGCCAGCGGAACACACACACAGTCAGATAAACCCATACACACGTACTGCCGGCGGAACATATACACGCACAGTCAGATAAACCCATACACACGTACTGCCGGCGGAACATACACACACGGTCAGATAAACCCATACACATTACACACGTACTGCCGGCAGAGCACACACACTGTCAGATAAACCCATACACACGTACTGCCGGCGGAACATACACACACAGTCAGATAAACCCATACACACGTACTGCCGGCGGAACATACTCACACAGTCATATAAACTTATACACACGTACTGTCGGCGGAGCATACACATGCAGTCAGATAAACCTATACACACGTACTGACGGCGGAACATATACACACACAGTCAGACAAACAACACGGAAAGGTGGCCGAGTGGCCAGTCCAGCTGATGCACTGGACGAGTCGGCAAGTGTTAATGGTGGCATTACTTAGTACTTACGTACATACCTCTTTTTTATCTATTCTCGGTAAACGCACATTTAAAGGGACCCTCCCACCTTCAAAAAAGTTAATGAACTGGCATAAAAGTGATGTAGCGTGAATCACAAAGAGCGAAAATGAGCATCTACCAAATTTTACCGGAAAATATTCACCCGTTTTCGAGATATAAGACTTTTATTTTTGTTTACTTTTTGGGAACTCCGCTGTTTCTATGACGTCACGTAAAGGTTTTCTTTACGTCGGCATTTGGAAGCAATAGTTTGGTATCAAAGTGCGACAAATATTGCGCGAATGATGCGTTTATCTTATCAAGGTCAATATATGATGGCCAATAAAGGATTCCAGGACAATTCTTCTAATGACATTTCTTCGTATCGCAATTTTTCGTCTGCAAATCTTCGTCAGGGCATTTATTCGTATCGCATTACTTTGTCTCGCATCAGGGTATATGAAAATCGGCTCGCATTTCTTCTTCAACGCAAATACCTATATGCAAAAGCAAGCATTGAGGGACAAATAAATGCACCGACGAAGATTTGTAGACGAAGAAATGCGGACGAAAAATTGTGCTACGAAGAAATGTCATGCGAGGATTCGTTCGGGTACCATGACATTTATGTGATTTCGAAGTCAAGGTTCACAGCTGATCTGCTAAATCAAGCCAAGAATCCAAACTATCAAAAAACCATAAATATTTGTTTGTCTGTCACAGAGGTCTCAAGCAATATAAGGTTGACATATGTTGAATCAAAAATCTACTGCCACAACTCACATCTCCTGCCTTAGTTTATCATTGTTGTTTTAACTTTCTTTCAAGAGAAACAGAAGCCAGTATATGATATCACTTCAGATGATTGTTTCAAGATCTGAGTTCAAATGGAAATAAAAGCAAGATCAAGATGAAACAGGGATTATTGCTGTTAAAGTAGTTTGGCCATGATACAACAAGCACATAAATCATTAGCCAAATCAAATACTGGTTGGTTTGTCAAGATGTTTGTTGTCTGTCGTCTGTCGAGCTGCTATGAACACTGAACGCTGTCACTCTTACTTTAAAGATAGTAGTTTAAGTTGAATGGTAGTGAGCTGTAATTAGACAAAGCAGCTATTCAGTGCTCACATCAAGCCAGGCTAGGAAATGGCATCAACTGTGGTGGGAGGAAGCAGGTTCGGCAGCCCTATGTTGTAAACTTCTGTTGTATCTTGTGTTTGATCAACTGATGTTTTCTGCTCTGTTTTGTGCAGTGATAGTAGCAGGTAACTGCATTGTTAGCGCTGCTAGCACAGCATTACAACTTACAACGTTTGAGAAGCTGAGCTTTGGAAATTCCGAACGAAAAACGAAGAAAACGAACGGAAACGATCAAGCTTCCCATCGAATTGAAATACCGAATTCGTACGAAGGATCGAACATAAACTGAATATGTCATTGAACGGTTTTCAAAACGTTTTCAACTCTGGAAATATCACCGAGAAATGGTCACGTGAATGAGAGTTCAGATAATTCAAAATTTGTTTCATGTTTTTATTTGCTTTTACTTGTTCGATAGATGGTCGTTTTTTGAATTGATTTGACTTTGTTTTAGTTCATGTTACCCGTCTAGGCGACTTCTGTTACTATTAAAACCAGTATCCAAATATATTGCGTTTTCATTTCAGATGTTCTTTTTGTTATTGTTGGCCTACGGCGGTAACAGTTTTAATACGTAACATTGTACAGATAACAGTTCAGTAACCTTCGTTTATCGAGATACCTTAACCATGGAACATTTGTGCCTGGCCGATCGTGCTAAATTAGACCAGAAGATCATGGAAGCCCTTTCAGAAATTCTTGAAAATTCAGACGTACTTTGTGATGAAGTTTTGCCTGGCGACAGTGCATCACAAACGTCATCGAAATACCACTGTAGCACTCCCGTATCTCAATCTGGGAAGAAATTGTGCTCGTCTGTCATCGAAGAAGCTAGAACAGCAGGTCTGGAAGCAAGATTAGAGTTGACAAAAAAAAGAAATGCATTGTAAAAGCAGATAAGTGAACGGGAAATGGAACTGTCAGAATTAAATCTTGAGATGCAAATTCAACAATCCAAAGCTGAACAGGCAGTCTTTACAAAATATGAAAGTAGCCCCAAACCATTGTTAACGAAACGAAAATGCGAAACAAGCGACGTAACCGACCAGAGCGAGCCGGCTGTTTCGAATCCTAAGCCCCATACGAAAGTACCCCAGATGAATGATCCCTGCGAAGTGTTCAGACGGATGCATCTACCAAAACTGAATATGGACACTTTCGATGGTGATGTAATGAAATATGGAAGTTTTTTGAGACAGTTTGAAAGCAACATAGCGTCGAAGACTGATGTTGATGATGAAAATTGTACTACTTGGAGCAACTTACCACTGGGAAGCCAAATGACATCGTCAAAACATGCCTGCATCTGCCACCGGATGAAGGTTACATGGAGGCGCGTCGCCTTTTGGATAAGAGGTATGGTGATAAAACAAAGGTGGTTTCATCGCTGGTCGCTACAATTATTAATTGGCCTATCATTCAATCTGATGACGTAAATGGGTTAGACGAATTTGCTATATTCTTGAGAGGGTGTCTCAACTCGCTAAAAAGCATTCCCCATGGCATGGCAGAGGTGGACGCTAGCACCATACGACATATTCTACGGCGGTTTCCTATCGACATTGCTGATAAATGGCGTGATGTTGCGGATTTTACAGAAGAAACTCAGAGTAGAATCCCAAATTTCGAAGATTTTGTGCTATTTATTGAAAAAATGGCGAGAATAGCGGGAAATCACTGGTATGGGAAACATTTATTTCTTCCGCCATCATGTCCATCGTCCAGCTATTATTGTGACAGCAATGTGCCATCAAAGATCCCTAAGACGTCTGCGGGCAGTTCATCACCAAGCATGCACTGCGTATTTTGCAATAAGGCGCATGACATCGCTGATTGCAGCGCACTGGGTGATCGTCCTACTCAAGAAAAACAACGATTTGTAATGCAACATGGCCTATGCTATGGTTGTTTGCAGCGCGGACATATGTCAGCCACATGCGCGCAAAGG